TTTTGTATATGCGTTTGTTGTGGGTTTTGTATATCTATTGGGTTTTGTGGGTAAAATTTCATATTTTGGGATGGTTGAGTTTGTCGTGGTCTTTGTGTCCGATATTCTTTAGTGTATGGTGCAAAAATATCTGGTTGGTGATAATCATCTTCATCGAATGCTAAATAGTTTGTATTATGGTGTATGTTGGTTATTTTTATTTTGTTGAAAGAATGGGTAATTTTCAGTATAATCCTGTGTAGGTTGTGGATTATCTGGAAAATTTACTGAATTGGTCGATGTTTTCGGGAGATTCCAATAATGGGAACATACGAGATTTAAATTTTGTGTGTTTTTTCGGGGAGGTTGATTTGTTCTTGGTTTGTGAGAATAAATATAATTGTGTTCTGCAAAGGTGTTTCTTGTGAATGTTTTTCGTGTTTTTGACGGTATTGTCATTGATCTATAAGTTTGATAATCCATATGTGAATATTTTGGAGCAATCGAAGGTTTAAAGGTTGGTTGTAAGGTTACCTGTATTAGTGACGTATTTGTATTTCTTGGTGTTGTCAAATTAGGGTGTATTGGTGAAATACTTTGTTGTGTAGGTGTTGTTGTTTGGACGATTTCTTCATTTATGAAGTGTGATGGTGTTTGAATATCTTGTTGTGTAAGATTTCTAGTTCCATTAAGGTTTTCATTATGTATGAAGGTCGAATTTAAACTGTTTTTTCGTGTATCAGGTAAAAATGTATTATAGTTCAGTGGTGTTGCATCAATGGTTAATGGTATTACTTTTACATAATCCCTGTGATAAAATATTGTACTTATTGCTTGACTTGAAATAGCTTGTGGGATATTTAGAAATGTAGGATGAGACCATTCAGGGTCTCAAACGTAGTCTGATTGTTCTGAAAGAGCAGTGTCGTCTTTTGTATTTTGAGGTCTGAAATTTTTCCTTGCTTGTGAAATTAAATCTAAATTGTGGGTGAAATAATCTATTAAAAACCATGCTAAAATCTTTTGTAAATCATGTTTAGTGTGTTGTGAAACATCATCTTTAGTGAAATTTTCTGTAATTATATGTAAAAATGTTGAAAATATTGTGATTTCATTTCGTACTTTTGTATGTCTGGATGTTTCAGTTGGTGATATACTTTGAAATTCTTTTTTTTCTAACATAGATATATAACTATATATTATTGCAAAAACTTCGTTAGTGAAGACGGAGTTTGCTCTTTGTGAATTATGATATCGTATGCTTTTGATATACTATATGAACACTTTTGAAAATTCTAATTCAATATCGTCTGTTTGAATTACATATTTACGATGGGCTGTATTTGGTGTGCTGAATTCTATGGCGTAGATTACATATTGTTGTGTTAGATTACATATGTCTTTTAAATAATTGTCAATAATTTGTCTTTTAATTTTTACATCTGCAAATTCTGCTTTGCATGGAATGGTTCCTGGTTCAAACGAGTAAATTCTTGCAAAAATCGTGTTGTCCTCTATCATCGAGTGAATCTATAAGAAAGGGAAAAACTGCTTCGTCATCTGGACTATCGTCACTTTCAGTGTGGCTCATTTTTTCGTTTGATGACTGTTAATATATAACTATCGATGTGTCAAATTGGTTGATTCCAATTATACAAGTGTACTGGTTTGTGTTTGTATTGCCTTTTTCTTCTTCTTTTTCCTCTTTTTGATGAATTTGAAGTTGTTTCTGAGTCGGAAAAATATAATTGATCATGGATGGGATAATTTTTATCTATTGATTCTTTTAATTTGTATAGTTCGTCTAAACTGCTGGCTTCTGACTCAGAAAATGCGTTTCTATTTTATGAAAATCTTTTTCGTGTGATTTGTCTTTGTTTGTTTAAAATTTTCCTTTTTATTGTTTGTCGTTTTGTTCTAATGTATCCAACTGTTTGTGTATGAGGTGTGATTACAAGATCGTATTTTTGTTATCAATTTCACAGTTGTGTAAAACGATTGTTTGTTTATTTCCTAAATTTTTGAATGACATAAGGTTTAGGATGAGGGATGCAAGAAGTTGTTAGTTATTTCTATTTCCTTAGACTGTTAGTCCTTACGATTTTTTGGTTAGCTTAACCTGGGTCTTTTTGTTCAGGGTTGGAGAGAAAAGTATATAGATTCCGAAGAATGATTTTTTACTTTCTCGTGGCTAGTCTAAGCTAAGGTGTTAACCTACTTAATCTTACTTAGGGGTAGTGATTGTATTCAAGGGTTGGAGAATAGTAAATCGATCCACAAGGTTCAGTTATAATTAGAACACAAGTAGTTCGTTAGATACTATTTTAAATTTTCTAAGTCTAAGATCTATCCTGGGTCTGGTGAGAGGAGGGTTCAAGTGAAGGATGAATAATCGAAGTTCTTCACTGTTTATCTTAATTTGAATGGTTAGTTTTATTGAAAAATTTCTATTAGTCCTGGGTCTTTTGGAAGGGTTGGATAGTGAATCGACGTTTGAGGTCGTTATATACTTTCTAAGTGGGTGGGGGAGAACAACATTGTTCTTTTTGATCCAAGGATAAGCCTTGATCATCAGGTTTTAAATTTAGTGAAATAGAAATTTTATTAAGATCCAAGGATAAGCCTTGATGATCTGATTTTTAAAATTAAGTGAATTTAAGTTTAAAATGGTTTAAATTTATTTAAGAAAAAGATTTAGTTCTTCAATGATGTTAGTGAGCTTATGATTGCTGTTATGTTTAGGTGATGAAGCTGGGACAAAGGATGATTTATGATTACTAACGATTTATTGTCATGCTACTAATTTTTATTTTCATTTTCAATAAATTTTTTTTTCAAATATGTTTTATATAATACTGCAGAAATTAAGAAAACGATTTGAGATCTTTTTATCAATCTTTTTTTTACATTAATAATTTTGTTTAGCGCCTGAAATGATCATGAAGATTTATCTCAAAATTTTATGTTTGCAAATGAAAATCTAAATTCATTGCTAATAAGATTCTAAATACAAAAGTTTGTGTTGGCTTTTGCTTAAATGGTAAGTTTCTACTTAGTCGTATATCGTCTCTTGTCCGAGGTCTTCTTCCAATTCCGGGTAGTTCTGGTATCGTTCGGAATATCGGCTCTGATCTATTGAGTCGTAGAGACATTTCAATTAAATTATTATCGTGTAACATTTTGAAAATGTTTTGTCTAATTTCTAATCTATATTTGGTTAGTTCTAAACTATTTAGGTCTTATTTGAGACTTATGGTCGCACCAGATGAGTTAGGACTGATGTGGTTAACTCATAGAGTAATTTCGGATAGGGTACACCGTCTGCTCGTCACGCTATCTTATTTTCGGCCGGATAGATTCGTGCAACTTCTTAGTCTAATACCGATCCTAATCTTACTCTTATACTTACTAGTCTCAGGGTGTTTAACTAGTCTCTGCTAGGCTCAATAGATCTAGGGCATACTGTTTTATTGCGGCTGCTGAAGTTCTCTTGGAGAGGCAACCAATTTCTAAGTTAAATTCAAATCTCTCTGGTGCTGAAATTACAAGTAATTTCAGCACCTACAAATAAGTGGGTTGTTAGTTAGATGGATTATGATTGGTTAATATTAAATATTTTACAGTGGTAAAATATCCAATTTATCCAATTATAAAAGGTAGTTTAGATCAGGTTCCACATGTTTCGACCGTGATCAACCAAGTTCCGGTGTTTTTTTTACTTTCAAAGTTAATGAGTTATCCAAACTTTATAATTTATAGTTTCTACTTTTCGGGTAACATATTTTGATACTTTTTTCTTCGATTGTAAAGATTGGAATTATTTGCAATTTAATTGCTTTGTAGAGATGAACTACTTTTGAGCTGTTTTTTTTTCTTCTTCTTTTGCAATACTGTTATGCAATTTGAATAGAAAATATTTAAAAATGTCCTTTTATTTGAAAGAAATTTTTCTCTTTGACTTAGAATCACCGCGGGAAAAGTGGTGCGTTTCGACTGTGCCTGACCTGGCTCGATTTTTTTTTCGAACTTGCTCGACATTGCTCGAGGTATGTTTCGATATTGCTCGAGGTTTGTTTCGAATTTGTGCTCGACCCAAACCCCAGTCTCGATTATTCTTTTTCGTTCGAGCACGGACTTTGAAAGTCGAAACAAAAAGAGAGCAACCTCGACCGGGGTAACAACCTGCTCACTTGATCACGCAAGGGCACGAAAGTAAATGAATAATTGTGCTCGGGGTGAGGTTTTTTCTTCAGACAAGTTTGGACTTTTTAACTAGCCATTTTTGACGGAAAGTTTTTTTATCACTCAAAGAGTATTGTTGTCTTGAGCTGAAAATTGAAAAAAAATTTCACCTGTGATTCTTTTGGAAAAGTTATGGGGGTTTGAAAATAGCCATTTTGGCCAATTTGGGACAATTAACGCGCGATATATTTCGCGCTATCAACGCCTAAGCGGAGGTTACTGCCTTAGAAATTGTTCGAAATTGGTTGAGGTAAAATTATTTTCTAAAATTGAATTGTTACTAGGAACGAAATCTATCACTTTGTACTTTATACGGCGTGTGGGGGGTTGATTTTTAAGCGAAAAAAATCAAATTTTGACTTTTTTTACGTTTAACTTTTTTCAAGTTTTTACTGCTCCATAGACCGTTAAAGGCAGTCGGAACAATGATACTCCTGATTTGCCCTGATACAAGCAGTTTTGTCTAGTTTTATGCTGCTTTTTTTCCAAATTATGTCTAAACATTGTCGTTTCAGCTCAAAAATCTCAACAAAACCAAAACTGTAATCAAAATTAGATTGTTCATCCACAGCCAATAAGTGCTAAGTTGGCCCAAACAATTAGTGATCCGCCACGCCAACCGTTGCCATTTTATCAAGCAGTAACTAAGAATCATCTCAAAACAGTATTTGTGCCTCGAAAAACAATATCTATTTGAAATTGAGGCAATTGTTTTGCCTTTTTTATCATTTTCAATGAAACTCTTAACTTAACTATTGCCAGTATAGAGTAAATTCATGTATCAAGAATGGTCAATTAATCAAAAATTATTTTCAGCGAAATTATACTATTGTCACTTGGAGATAAAATAATTCTAGAACCTAAATGAACTAGAGTATCATATTTTCTTTTCTCAGTAGGTCGAATTGACTGCTCGTAGAATTTCTTGGCACTTTGGATCCAGAAGTCCGTCTCCGCCTGAAAATGAAAAACAATTTCCTTCGAATTTTTTGTTTTATTTTCAGCTAGCAACATACATTGGAAGTTTTTGCAACTTCAGCTGATTCCTCAAAAAATCTGCAATTTATCAGGCCTTCGAAGAAACTACAACAAAAACGTGCAAAAAAGACAGTTTATACGGCCCATTTTGTGTTTATTATTGGCAGTTTTTGTTCTACTTTTCGATGAAAATGAGGAAAAGTTATACACGGGTTGAAATTTTTCATTTAGATTGAATTTGCAAACAAAATTCTTCGCTACCGCGGGAGATCGATCCCTTGATTTGCATGGTCCGAGCCGGTTGTGCACACTACTATAATATTATTCCTCAAGTCTGTCTATACTGCTCTTTTTGTATTTTACATGTGGTGAATAATACCTTTCTATAAAGTCGTCCCAGATTGAAGCAAAAAGCTAATTGGTCTTAACTGTTCCGAATTTCGAAGAAAACGTAATACTTGTGCTAGGCTTGGTTTTTTATTCAGCCGACCAAGATAATATTTTTCAACAAAAATTTTTATAATCCCCAATGAATATATCAACTTCTTGAGCTCAAATTTAATAAGATATTTTACCTTCGATCATTTTTGTAAAGTTCTAGGGGTTTGAAAATTGCCAAATTGGCCATTTTCTGGACTAATTTATGCTCGCTTTGACGAGTTTGTCCATAATACTGAGAGCGTAAAGCAAATTATTTTTGCGTGGCGATTCATCTGCGCAACAAAATCATTCCCAATTGAATTGAGGCTACCTAATTGGTCGTAATAATTTCGTACGACCCAAATTTTACACTTTGATATTGTCCAAAATGTATATGTTTTCAATGTTTTCTTTCGCCAAAAACTATTCGATATGAATTGAAGGACAGTCGAAACATTCAGAGCTTTGCCTTGATATACGAGCAGTCTTGTTCTAAACACGACTCAGATTTTATTATCCAAGACTGAAAATTATCAGCCAAAAGTTCAAAGTTTTGCCTATATTCTAATAATAAAAAACAATTCGAGGCCAATTGAAGGCAATCGGAACCTTCTCAAAACATAAGCTCAAAACTCTGATCGTTAATTATCTCAAATTGGCCAATTTAGCAAACTTCAAACCCCTATAATTTTCCTAAAAAGGATCACAGGCAACAATTTTTAAATTTTAGCTTCGCTTAACAAAATTTCTAGGATGATATAAGAGATTTATTATCAAAATTGCTTTTTAAAATGTTAAAAATTGACTGAATAAAAAACCGGCTCATTGATTATTATTACGTTTTTCATTTTAATTTTGGAACAATAAGTCTATTTTCAGCAAAAAAAACACAAACAGGTACTGGAAAAAGCTTCATACAGTGGACTTCAATACTAAGAAATTCAAATAGAAGAAAGCTCAGCTTTAAATTTAGCTAAAACACTGAAGTAAATTTAGATTTTTGCGAAAACTGAATCTTGTTTCAGCTTTGAGTGAACATCACGAAACTGGAAAATTTCACAAAAATGTCGTGCTTTGGTCAGAAATTCTCAAACCGGCTTTGTCCAAAAATCGCCGACCAGTTTAGCTCGAAAATGATTTGTAATAATTTTGAATGACATGCAAATCCTAATAAAACACTGAATTAAACAAAAAATTGATGACAAACTAGCCAACACTAACTGGTTTTTGGTCAAAAATTGAAAACTTTACAAAAAAATTATTTGATTGGAATTAGCTTAAACCTTACCTTAAAAATGCATTACATCTAAATGCAAAAATACAAAGCGTGCGACATTGTTCGGCTATAGTATGCGGCGACTAGTAGCAGATCGATGCGGGAACCACAGGTGATACCACAGTACAGTACTATCTTGATAGGTGCAATCCAAAAATTAATAGGTACGTTTTTAAGCGGCTATAGCAAATTTTAGCTAAATGGCCAATTTAGCTAAAATTGACTGAGTTAACAATTTTTCAGCGATAACTTTTACTGGAAACTCAACACCGACTCCCGTTTCATTTCTGTTTTTCTGACCTTCATTTTTGACCCTTCGAAGCCACAAGCCTTAATTTTGAGAAAAAAAGACGCGCAAAAGACTTCGTTTTTTGAGCTCCAAGTCTCAAAAATGGCTAATATTTTTATAGACTAAATAGGGCCCTACAGAGTTTTGAGGAAAACAAAAAAATTATTTTGGTCGACATAAAATAGGTTGAACTTCTATTTTTGTCAAAAGCGGAAACTTTTGCCTTTTTCGATGCCAAAAATGACCGTTTCGAGGCAAAGGTTTTTTTTCTGGTGTTCAGTTTATGAAACTTTCAACCACCTAGTAAAGTTTTTGAGCAAGGTTTGCAAATATGAGCTTAGAGAGTGAGTTTTAGTGTGGTCTCACCAAAGTCGAGTCCCTGTATGGTGCATTCGTACACCATCTCGCCATTCACCATCACCCGCACCTGGTCTCTGTCCTCTATCCTGTGGAAGTGCACTTCGTGTTCATTCTTCTCTAGCAGAGTCCGAATCCCGTCCAGGCGACTCTCACGGAACGCCACGTAACCTGGTCAGAAAAAATAGACACGGTTTATTCCCAACTCACACATATTTGGACCGGAAGCCATTTGTCAACTTTCAAAAGTTTTGCAACATCTTAAGTTTTCAACCGAACTAAGAATATTTTTTTCCATTTTTTGTAGTATTCACAGAAAATATAAAAGACACAAGTTCGAAAATTTGACCGATGTCTGATGAAAACACTCAAAAGAGCCTGGTTGGAATAAAAGCTAAAAAAAAAGCTTCATTTTGAGGCGTTAATTGGAGTCGACTACAGATAGATTTAAAGGACGTTCTTTTTGTAAAAACATCTTCTTAAAGATCACAAGAGATGTGAAATTAACGTCTCAAACTCAAACTTTTGACGAGCCGGTTTTTTTTACCCTTATTTGGCTCTTTTCCAGTTGCCCCCCCCCCTTTCAAACTCAGTTTTGAAAAGTCTATTTAACGTTGTCATAATGCAAATAAAATTTGGCGTGGTGAACAAATCGACAATTCTGAACATATTTGTTCTTCATACTTTACAGCGTATCACGCATTTAGCCGTAATAACACGTAAAACAAAGATAAAACTCGGTATTTTGAAAGGTATTTTAATAATTTTTATTATTAACTTCGTTATTGTTTGGGCTCATTATGATTATTAACTTCCGACAAAGGATTGAAAAAATGAAAATCCCAAGTTGATAATCGAAAACTCCATTTGATTTTTTTTTCTCGATGATAGTTACAATTCGCAGAGCCGCGTTAGTTACAAGTTGCAAGTCCGTTTCTGACAGAAGTTCCGGAAATTTATTTGCCTTGGCTTGATCGGCTACAAAAAACTTTAGGCCAAATGCGGTCTGACTTGTACTCAGTACTCATAGACGAAAACAACTAGCCCATGAGGCTGTATTCCAGGTTCAAGTCGATATATTGTTCACTTCAGCTCAAAGATAACCTACAGCACTGACTGTTCTCTTCGCGTTTTTTAGTTTTTTTTTGCTGAAGGGAGCCGACTGATCCGCAAAGCTGACTGATCCGCAAAGCTGACAAAGCTGATCAACAAATCCGTGGGGCTTAGCTTATTTTCGGCGGGTCGCGTCTCCAGTTAAATCCATAGAGCTTAGTTTTCGTATGAGCTTTTGTAAGATTCTGCGACCACAACTTCAGGTGATTTTCTGATCCGATCTTTGGTGCAGTTGTTAGGCTAAAGAATAGCATTAGTTCATCATATTCAATTGATCCAGTTCAGACAGGAAGGGCGGAAATGAAGAGCCCACGTTTTGCTTGCCTGGATTGAGTTCTACGGTACTCTGGCATTCGAAAGGGTTTTGGCTTGCAATTCGATCAATCGTAGACTTTTGCCGACTTTCACTGAAGCTACATATTTCTGTATTTTCGCGTTATTGCCTTGTCCACATTTCTCATCGAGAAGAGCCTACATTTTACTGCCTTCTGCAAAGTTGGCGTTCCAACATTTTCTAACTCGTGTCCCATCATTTTTTGACGCGTTTCTTAGCTATCTCACTTTTTCGCAACCACGGGATTTGGAAGCATTGGATCAGAAGCGAAGTATTGACGCATTTAAGGCGGGCATGTATGTTTTGATGGTACTTGTGTTCCTCTCACGGTAGAGCGCTCTCATCCATAAAAACAGCAGACAGATATTACAGGTTTCTATAGATTTTACACAAAAAAATTAGGGACACTTGCAGAGCGTTATTGGTTATCTTGGAACTTTTTTGTTTGCCTGCATCTTCTCAAGGTTTGTTTTCAACCTCGAATTTATAAAATCTTTTGTTAAGGTTATTAACAACGTGCTGCGAGCTTACCAACAGAGAGCATGACTTTATACGAAACATAAAGCCGGTTACCGCCGCGAATTTCGAGTTGATGCAGTACCGCAAAATGGCATCAAAATCCGCCTGCCTAGTAGTTGAATTTTTTTTCGAAAATGAAAATTATTTAGGATACTTCAAGCTTGAATGAATCAAACCGTTGTTGATGCTACTTTAATTGATGTTTATTTTTTTGTACAAACTGTTATTTTCGGTTTTGATCAATAGACAGTTTGCACACCCCTTACCCAAAATGTTGTGTTAGATGAAAAATCATTAATTATGATCTCAGCGCATCAGTAATTTTTAGACTGTATAAAAAACTTCCAACAAAATTAATTTGTTGAAAGTTCAAATTTGGCAAACAATCACCATATGCACAAACTTTCAATTACTTTCTTTTAAATTCGGAGTAAGAAGTTTTCAGTTTTTTTGAGCAAGTTTTCAATTGAACTTAACCCGTGTTAAAAAACTGAGTAATAAAGTTATTCAAAACACTGATGCGTAAATGCATGAAGCGAACAGTATAATTAGATTATCTACTAAGTCTTAAAAAAGCCAGTTTGCAATTATTTTGCCTGTTTTTGTTCCGAATTTCGGTAACGAAGCTTACAGAATATTTGTGCCCGAGTGGTTTTTTTTCTTCAGACAAACTTCGGTTTTTATCTTGCAATTTTTGACGGACTATTTCAATATCATTCAAAAAGTATTGTTTTCTTGAGTTTAAATTTAAAACATATTTCACTTGTGATCAATTTTTGTAAAGTTATTTGGGTTTAAAGGTTACCATTTTGGCCATTATGCCAATATAGGACAATTAAAGCGCGATAAACTTCGCGCTGTTAACGCGTAAGCTGAGATTTAATCCGTCTTAGAAGTCGTTTCAAATTGCAATTTAAGGATAATAGACAAAGGATAAATTATACTTAGTATCTTTATTGCAAAAAAAAGGATGTGCGAGTTTAACTTTTTTGTTTTGAATACCAAATGACACCCTGAAATCAATTTAATATTCAAAATTTTGTTCTCAAAAAGCCTCGCCTCCAACATTTTTTGCGCGTTCTCACTGATATTATCATTCAAGATGGCAGTTTACAGCCTTTGAAATTTCGATTGTTTAAAATAGGGCCGTATGTACTTTGCTGCACGGCTAGTTGAGCTCCTTTTCCTAATATGGTTTTTTTCTGCAGACAAATTTTGCAATTTTTAAGTAGCCTTTTTTGACTGGATTTCTTAATATCATTCGAAAGGTATTGCAGTCCTGAGCTCAAACTGATATTTCATCTATGATCACTTTTCGTAAAGAAAGCTGATTGCAAAAATCGATTTGTTACCAGGAGCGAAATCTACCACTTTGTACTTCATATGGCGTGTCAGGGGATGGTTTTCACAAAAAAAATCTAATTTTTTTTATTTTACTTGATTACATTTAATTTTTTGAAAATGTGACTGCTTCTTAGACCTTAAAAAGCAATCGGAACAATCAGGCCAACGACCCTGATGCGAGCAGTCTTTTTACCTTTTAGGGTTTCTCACACACAAAACAGATTAGTTTTATCTTAAGCCTGGTATTTTAAAGAAATATGCAGGTAGTTTCAAAACCGTAACAAATGTTAAAATAAATATTCTCTTAACTAACTAATAACATTTACAAGAGGTTGATTAAACAGTTGCAAATTTATTGAAACAAAACCTAATTTTTCAAGTCGACCGATTCACTTTCTGTGCTCTCCGAAAATTCTTTAAGGACCATATTTTATCGCTTAATTTCTGCACCATAGGCAATTTAAAAAAAAACAGGCTGAAAAGGCAGGCTTAGGCTCTTTTTGGAACATTTTGACCAAAAAGTTGGTTTTTTATTGGAGTTTCGGCAATTCGTAGAGGAGTTATCAGTAGGCCTTAACAAGGCTCTTCTCCAGTTTCCCGTCTTTGATTTTTTTTCTGAAATTCAGTATATGGAAGTCAATTTAAAATGACCTTTCCCAATATAAACTGCATTAAAACGTGTCAGCGTGAACAAGTGAACAAATTTTTAGATTATCTTTTACCTGCAAAAAGCCGTGTGAACAATTTTGAAACAGCTTAACTTTGTAATTTTCTAGGGGGTGGGAAACTGGAAAAGAGCCCTCAACAGTCCTGTTGAGGACAATGTGTCCATTTGTTTTATTGGCGCTCGCTATACCCTCAAATTTAGTTATATTGGCTCCGAAGGGGCTTTTAGAAACATTTCGAGGCTAGTCCGCGAAAAATAGATTTCGTAAAGTATCACCAAAAGGAAAAATCTTGAATAAATTTGGCAACCAGAATTGAGGGGCAACCCCCTCGGTACGGTACTTCATTCAAATTTAATTGATTTGGGGTCTTTCTCATTATAGCTCCCCCAGTAAAATACAGCCCCACAATCTTTCCCATTAGAGCCCCCCCCCCAAACGTTTTACTTATATACACATTATCCGTACTGATTTATACTACTATTTATACTGAGATTTACTTCAATGGAAATATTTCAATTATGATATTAAGTTGATTTATATCGATGACTTCTTTTTCCTGAACTGAATTTTGATTGAGTATCAATTCAAGCTGCCTCACCTAAACCTCACCTCAACCTCATCTAGTTGATTCTATATCATCTGTCAGTTGATTTCTTATGGCTCCGATAAATTTAGTCAAAATAGCAGACATCACAAACTATAAATGGGAAATAATTGGCGGAATTCTTGTTTCGCAAAGATTGCAAAAACAAAAAATTGGTGGTATTTGAAGAAATAATAAAAAATATTGGTCAGTTCCACAAACATATTGGTGATGCAAATCTGTAATCACATGGTTGAATTAACTTGAAGAATTTAACCATACTTAAATGCAAACATTGAAATCAATTATTTGAGCTGCCCATTAGTATAATTAGAAGCTTTGTGGCGGCTATAATAGTATAGTTTGGGGGGTCTATAAAATGTTTGATACTAGGCTGGGGGGCAATAATGGGAAAAACCCTTGATTTGAATATGTACAGAATAAACATCTAATGGAAACTTGATGGCGAACCAGATTTGAAAAGAGAAGTTTTAATCTAATTTGTGGTTCTTAACCAATCACATCCACAATTGAATATGAATATTGAAAAACTATTTTAAGGTGCAATAATTTTACGAATTTTTACGAGTTCAAACAACTAACTATTTTAAGCAGTTCTTCACTATCTCGAACTTTTCAGTGTCACAAAATATCAAAAAAATTTCAGAGATTTAGAATGAAAAATAAAGAAATTTAAGTCAAAGAAAACATTCACAACTTTCTGTTATACCCGCCAGGGCAGTGAAAGATTTAAACAAAATTAAACCCACACTGTTTAAAAAAATGTTTCAAATCAACTTGAAAAATTGCTTCTTAACCAACATTTTGAAAAAAGGTCAAAAAATTAGGAAGTCTACGAAAATCATCCGATGCGAAACCGAAAAAGGGCTCTTATCCAGTTTATTCCTTTCAAAACACCGAGATTCATGTTTGTTTTACATCTTATTAAGGCTAAATGCGTGATGTTACGCTGTAAAGTATGAAGAACAAATCTGTTCACAGTTGGCGATTTGGTCGCCACGCCAAATTTGATTGCATTATGGCAATGTTAAATAAGCTTCTCAAAATTGAAATTGAAAGGGGGGAAACTGAAAAAGAGCCCAAAAAAGCTAAGAAAATTTACTCTATTTAAACAATTGATTGAACTCCGTCCGAAGGTTGATTGTGTAGGTCAAAAACATTTCGCTTTTCGGGCATCAGAAAAAAGATCGCATTTATAAATTATAGATGCTCAGCTTAGATGTTCTAAAGATGCTCTATAGTTTATCGGGCTCTTTTCCATTTTCCCCTTTTAAAATATCGAGTTTTATGTTTGTTTTACGTGTTATTAAGGCTAAATGCGTGATGTTACGCTGTAAACTGTGAAGAACAAATCTGTTCAGAATTGTCGATTTTGTTCAGCACGCCAAGTTTCGTTGCATTATGACATCGTTAAATAGACTTTTCAAAATTGAATTTGAAAGGGGGAACTGGAAAAGAGCCGCCAAACTGTGCACTGGATAGGCGCACATTTTCGTGTCTGTATGTTCATGGATTCCAGGGACAAATATTTAAACATGTTAAAACTTTTTCGGAACGATCAAAGAAAATGGGCTCTTTTTTCATTTTCCCCCCAGCTCACATAAGCACCATATTCATGGTGTAACGAGTGGTTTTACAAGTTGAGTATGAAGACCAAATATGTTCGTCGTGGTCTGATAAGTCCGTATGCCAAATTTGATAACAATTTGACAATGTGAACAGAAATTTTACTCTAAAAATTGCAGGTGGGGGAAAAGGAGGCTCTTTTCCAGGTTCCCATCCCCCTCGTAAGATTACAAAACAAACCTGTTCATAAATTGTTCACACGGCAATTTGCATGTTAGAAAAATTGTAGAAATTTGTTAACCTGATCACGCTGACACGTTTTATTGCAGTTTATAACATCAAAAGTCATTTTAAATAGACTTTCATCCAATAGATTTCAGAAAAAAGCAAAGGGGGGGGGGGGGGAGGGGGACTGGAAAAGAGCCAAAAAAGAAAAAGAGCCAGAAATTGAAAGAACAAAAGGAGAACAAAATAGGAGAACCTTGTTGCGGAATCACAATCCACAAAATGCAAAGTTTGGCCTCGTAATGTTTTTTGAATGCCAAAAAAAACAAATTCATGTTTTTCAGCAAATCAGTTGAAATTCCTTAGGAAAACAAGAGTTAAGTTCGGCTCTTTTCCAGTTTCCCAAATCCTCGGAAAAATGCAAAATTAAGCTGTTTAAAAATTGTTCACACGGCGTTTTGCATGCAAGAAATATGGTAAGATTTTGTTCACTTGCTCATTCTGACACGTTTTGATGCAGTTTATATTGAGAAAAGTCAATTTAAATTGACTTCCATATGTTGAATTTCTTAAGAAATCAAAGGGGGGACTGGAAAAGAGCCTTGAATTCGGATTGAGACAAAATAAATCAAGAAAATCATTTGTCGACCATTTTTGAGTAATAATTGATCAAATTCTAAATGATCAGATGGAAAGAAAATCAGTTCTCCTTAAAATAGCTGGTGATATCAAAACCTAGCAACCCATCAAAAAGTAATTAATAATAAAAACGAAACTACCTCCAATGAATGCACTTGTTATGGCGACTCGGGGGGAAGATCCCTAAAATTTTAAAAAATTTGTATAGGCGTAGTTAAGGTTGTGAAGTCTTACATATATTCTCAGGGTGTCTTGGTTTAGTTTTAAAGCCAGTTTTGGCTGGCTGGCTCCAAAATTTTCCAATGACGCTTTCGCCCACATTATGTACTATTTTTGAGGAAGCGCGCCACGAAAATACACGATTTTTTGGTCAAATTTGTCCAAAAACTGCCTAAAAACGCTTTTTTGACCTGTTTTGCTTACAACTCGCCTATGGCGCACAAAATGGCCAAAACAGGGTTTTTAAGTGATTTGGGAGAGCTCGGAATATCAATTTGGTCGACCTAAAAAAAGGTCGACAAAATTTTGGATTTTTTTTGAAAAATCTGAAATCCTTCACCCCCCTCGAGAAAACCCTAGATCAGCCTGGAAGTTTCTTTTACCAATGACTAACGTTTGTAACAATGAGCAACCAAAAAAAAACGTGACCTTGAGACCCGGTCAATTATCTCATCTGATGAGCTCCTCCGCTCTTTTTCCTTCCACCCCCACTTTTATGGTGTAACTAGTGGTTTTACTAAGTTAAGTATGAAGACAAAATATGTTTGTCATGTTTGCCAATGTTTGTCAGGTTTGTCAATACGATTGTCAAATCAATCGGATATCGCGGACAATGATTTTACTTGTAAAAATTCGCAGGTGGGGTAAAGGGACAAGAGCCGGCTCTTTTCCAGTTCCCCCCTTTCAAAATAAACAAGAGCCGGCTCTTTTCCAGTTCCCCCCTTTCAAAATAACGAGTTTTATATTTGTTTTACGTGTTATTACGGCTAAATGCGTGATGTTACGCTGTAAAGTATGCAAAGAACAAATCTGTTCAGAATTGTCGATTTGTTCACCACGCCAAACTTCATTGCATTGTGACAACGTTAAATAGACTTTTCGGCTCTTTTCCAGTTTCCCCCCCCCTTTCGAATTCAATTTTGAAAAATCTATTTAACGTTGTCATAATGCAATGAAATTTGGCGTGGTGAACAAATCGTTAATTCTGAACAGATTTGTTCTTCATAATTTACAGCGTAACATCACGCATTTAGACGTAATAACACGTAAAACAAACATAAAACTCGATATTTTGAAAGGGGGGGGGGAACTGGAAAAGAGCCGACTTTTCAAAATTGAATTTGAAGGGGGGGGGGACTGGAAAAGAGCCCAAGAGCCACCTCCTCAACTTGATGAGTGGATGTTTAATGGGGATATCAAAATGTTCATAATTAGCCAGAGGTATGAATTGTATGTATGGCTCTTTTTCCTTTCACCCCCCCCCCCCTACCTCACATAATCATCACAATTTTATGGTGTAACGAGGGGTTTTAAAATGTTAAACATGAAGAGCAAATATGTTTATCATGGCCTAATTAGTTCGCATGCCAACTTTCGTAACGTTCGGATGATGGGAACAAATATTCACTAGGAAAATTTTGCTGGTGGGGGTTAAAGGAAAAATATTTTTGTATTTACACTAACCTAGACAGTCGTAGGGGCCGTAGTAAACGTGAACTTTAGCCTTCTCAGGCATAATAGTACACATATCCCACAAACACTACCAGTTAATCTAGATTTAACAATTTGTATGTAGGAACAAAATTATTGTACCATAGTAAGAAAAAACGCACGTGAGATAAAATGACACTAAAAATGAAAAAGCACTATTTGGTTTTTTTTTTGCTTTTCTACCGTTTCCCCGGTATGAAAAGGGACGAGATTATGGACGCAATTTTTCCTATTTTTGCTCTTTTACCCAAATGAGAAAGTTAATTAAAACAAAACTGAGTCTTGTCGCATTCGGATGATATAAGAAAACTGCTACTTGAAAAATCGAAAATGGTCTGGAGAATAAAACCACTCGATCACAAATATTCCGCCACTTTTTTATAAGTCGGAACAATAAACATAAACTGGCGAACAAATCAAAAGAATTATGATAGAATATGCTTAAACAAAACATAGTCCCACCCATACCCCCCCTCCCCACCACCTCACACGAGCCTCAGGTTTTTGGTGTAACGATCGGTGGCTCTTTTTCCTCCCCGAACCCCCCCCCACCTCACGCCAGTTTCAACTTATTAGTGTAATGAGTGGTTTTACGAGGTTGAGTATGAATACCAAATATGTTTGTCGTGGCCTTATTAACTGCATGTAAATTTTCATAACAATCGGACAATGTGGTCCACAAATTTACATGTAAAAATTTGCAGGTGGGTGGGGGGGAAGCAAAAAGAGCCCGATTGGTTTTAGAGGTTGGGTTTGAAAATCAAAAAAATTGTTCATGGCCTAATTAGTCTGCATGACAATTTTCATGACAATCGGACAATGTGATCAACATTTCATGGCTCTAAAAAGTAAAAATAGCCATGAAATATTTGAAAAAGCAAGGATTTTCTTGGAACTAATTATTTCTCATCTTATTTTTGATCAAAAATTATAGCTAAATCTAGGCTATTTCTAGCTATAACGAACCCTCAGCATGTTCATTTTGTTGCGGTTGAAATTGTTTATTTCCAAACTAAGAGAAGAAATTGATAATTTCTGTTTAGAAAGTACGAGAAAATTTTGCTAGATAATCTATATATTAATTCTATCGAGCAAAACAGCCTCCGTTGGGTACGAATAGGTTCACAAAAACCGCAAAATTGAAACGGAGCAAGCAAAGGATCAAAAAACTACCCTTGTATTTTATAAAAACGTAATCTTATTATCCCAGAAAGTCAAAATTTCGAGTCTTATATTAATTGAACACAGAGGCAGATCTAGGATTTAATCGGGGCGGTTTCTCGAGAAGGTGGGGAGGGGCGGTTTCTCGAAAAATTTAGTCGGCATTCTATTAGGTCTACCAAATTGATTTTCCGAGCTCTCTCAAATCACTAAAAAGATCTTGCTTCACTTATAAGAACCAGCATTCCCCCCTCAAAGTTAGTATACATTGGCACCAAAGAACCTTTAGAAAAATTTTAAGTTCAGTAAGCCAAAAATTGAAGTAGAAGAATAGTAGAAATGGGGGACCGAATTTCTGAGGGATGGAATTTCTGAGGGATGGAAAGCGTTCGCCTCCTCTTTCAAGCCGCTACTGATTGAACGTGTTTTTGTGGCTGATTGCATAATGTTACGATGTAAAATACGACGAAAAAATGTGTTCCTAATTTTCATATTGTTCACTATGCCATTTTTTTGCTGGAATTGAAGCAAGTAAAAAACCCCAAATAATTTTTGATTTTTTTACCCAAAATCCTACTTGTACTTTTCAAACGTATATCCATTCAACAGGTTGTTACAGTTAATTTTGGCCACCTAATAAGGTAGCGAGAACGAAAAAGCAAAAACCAAATTGATGTTTTTGGTCCAGATACTTTTTGATAAATAATTACAAATATTTGAAAACGTAAAAAAAAATTGTATTTTTTGAAAATAAAGCGAAATAGTGCTCAAAATCAAATTTAAGAAAATCGCAAAAAATCAAAAACTTTGCAGCAAAATTTTTTAAGAAAACGTAGTGATTCGGAGAAAAACTAAAAATTTGTTTGGTTCGACTTCAAAATGATGCCAGCTTTTTTCAAGCAAGTTTTCAGGTTTTTTGTATCAAGCAGGTTCACGCTATAGATAAACTACCGGTGGCTTTCCAAAAACTATATTCGCAATCAGTTGTCGCTGTACTTGGTCTCAACCTAAATTTTCTAAGCCTAAACCCCCTTCACACTGGAACCACCGTTCAATATCAACTCAGCAATATCCTAGGATTGTGCATATATGTGGTTATTCGGCCCAATACAGTAAACAACCTAACAAATAGGCATCGCTCAAATGAGTTCGAATCAATATCTTATTCTTAGCTTCGAGATATTCTTATCTGCTTTAAAAACCAAACAAAACATTTTGTTTATTGTAAGCGCGAATGTACTGAAAAGGTCCATGCATCTTTGAAACTTTGAAAAAATGGACTTTCTAGTGTTCAGTATGTTCAGAGATTTTTTCCTTAACAAAAAAAGGAAAGGCACTGTTTCGTCAGTACGTTGTGTTGCATCAAGATCCGAGACCCGACGTAACAAATTTCTCGAGAGTCGGCACTTCAGCTGTACTTTGAATAGTTTGTTTTTGTAGCAAACAAAGAAAGTTTAAAAATGTAGCAAAAGCTGAAAATAGCCGCTAATATAATTGGATCTTGAAAAAACTTTTGGTCTGTTTTTTGAAATTTTGAGTTTAAAACTTCCTCCAGTTTATTTTACTTTTTTCAAAACAAAAGTATTTTAAAAAATTGCTGATTATTAGGCCAAAATAAATCTATGCTTTATGAAGCAAGAAAATACTAAGAACGAAGCTTTCAGACCAGAAATTTAATATCACTGCAGCAGTAGATAAGGGTGTTGGAATTTGCGCGGTGGAAAAATTTACTGAGAGAAAAATGTTATTTGTTCCTCAAAAAGCAGTTTTCAAAAATGATGAGCTGATAGATTTAGCTGAGGAAGGTCAGAACAAAATCAAATCAAGTAAAAATCGGGAATGGGTAAAAAAAGATTACATAGTTGAACTTTTAAGCTATCGCATTGGTGGAAACTACAAAAATCAGGTTCAAAATCTCAACTTTTCATAGTATCGCCCATTTTTCTGTCATTGAAAGAGTCGCAACATTGACTAAGACAGCAAAATTAAAATTAAAAACATATTTTGAAGCTTTCCAAATCTTTCACCAGAAAACGTTATATAATTCTGAGTTTTCAGCGAGAAGAAAAAAAGGGGCAAAATGTGATATCAGCTATAAAAATTTTGCATGAAAACTAGGAACAAGAAAAACTTGAGCTAGAAAAAACAACTGTGGAGCAAACTTTTTAAATTAATTTCGAGGAGTTCACTAAAAAAAACAAGAGATTGCTTGAGAAGAAAATATCTGAATCTTTAGCGTTGAGCAATATGCTTTTGTCATGTGAGCACTGGTTACGTACGGATATTCAGAATTCAAAAAAGAATTAGTGAGCTACCCGCATCCAAGTTTAGGCGTAAATAATCGATTATAACGGATTATTATGATAATTTTTTGACAATTATAATCGATTATAATTACCAAAATTAGGTCCTTAAGGGATTTATAATTGATTATAATCGTGATATTTTCCAAGAGATTATAATCACTTATAATCGATTATAATTGATTACAGTTCTTACTAAAAACCCTTAAAATCAATTATAATCGATTTCAATCTCTCATTTTGCCGAAATTTTGCGATATTCGAATTATATTTTATGGGTTATTAATTTTGTGTCAGTAAGAAAATCTCTAAAAGAGAGATCTCTTGAACACTTTGGTTTATCTGAACACAAAGTTTTACCACGAAACAAAAGTTTCATAGAGATCCTTTCATATGAAGGGAAAGGTTCTCGCGGTATATGAAAAATAAATTTTCTGAATCAATCATGAGACTGAATCAATTTGCTGATGTTTTGGTGTTTGAAAAAGCTTAAAATATGAATCAGAAAACAACCCTAATGGGGAAGAAATGAAAAAAAACTTATAATTTTGAATCAATTGGAAAACTTTTAAAATATTTTTCTCATTTTTTATAGAAAACAATGTCCACAAAAAGCATAAAATATAAGCAATTTACATGCAACTTCGAAGACAAAAATGGACAAACAAAAGGGATAATAATCAATTATAATCGATTATAATGGATTTTTGTGCAAAACTAATTAAATAGAAATTTGAATAAAAATAATGGATTATAATCAATTATAATCGATTATAATTTTATCGAAAAATAGACGAATAAAAAATCGATTATAATCGATTATAATTGATTATAATTTGATTTTAAAAAGAGTGATTATAATCGATTATTAATTGAATAAAATCGATTGTTTCTCAATTTTAGTGAGACTGGTACTAAAATCGTAATATAATCGATTCTTAACGCTTGAAACTGGATGTGGGTACCTCAAACCCAGTTAGGTTTACTCTGGTACCGGAAGAGCCCCCTTTGGTACTTTATAAGAAATCCATTTTTGGCCGAACGACCATAAATTTTTTCTCAAGGCGGCTTCGACGCCAAAATATACTAATTTTGAGGGATGAGCGCGCGCCGAAAAAACGCGATTTTTTGGTCAAAATATTCCAAAAAGTGAAAAAGTGCCTAAAAACGCCTTTTTGAACTGTTTTTTTTTTTAAATTTTGCCTGCGGCACACACAATTTGGCCAAAACAGGAACTAAAACCTGCTTAGGGAGAGCTCGAAAAATCAATTTGGTCGATCTAAAAAAAAGGTCGACAAAAATGTCGACAATTTTTTGAAAATCCGCCCCCCCCCCCCCTCGAGAAAATCCTAGATCCGCCCCTGATCAATGGTGTTCAAGCTTTACCGTTACAGCACATCCAGGCATCGTGTAGCGTTTCCTCCCGGATCTTGTTCGGGCAAAGTTTTCGTTCCTTGAAAACTTGACAGAAACCCGTTGAAAAAACGGATTCCACCGTTGAACGATAGCAAACCTGCTCCTAATATTTCTAAAATATTTTGTTTCATCGCTCCCGTTATTTATTTCAATGTCTGCTGTAGCTCCAAAGCTCAATGCTATGGTTTCAGATACAAATGGAAGTAGTGTGTTCTTTAAACCAACATTACAATGGAACCAAATCATGAAGA